GTCTGAGACACAAGAAGGAATGTACACCCTAAAAGCTTGTGAATATGTATAAATCTAAATGAGCACTGATTGTATAACACAAAATAGTAATGTCATATGGGTTTAGAAATCTGTAGAATGAAAATCAATTTCAAGAATAAATGGAGAGGAGACAAATAGAGCTATAGCATTTCTGATATTCTAGTATTGCCCAGAAGGAAAGAAAACATGTCTAAGTTTATTTTCAAGAAAACGATGAACTACTACATATTTTTAAAAGGCAATTATTCACATTGACAGATATCAAAAGGAAATTTCTTACACAAAGAAAACAAAAATAAACCACATGATGGGTCGACAAGGACTTGACAATGAGCAAAATGTAGTCAACAGCCAGTTTACACTTTGTGGTCTAGCTTCTATGAGAAGGTCCATTGGGTGCTATCAGGGAGAATTCATATTTCCCCATCAAGTAACAAAAGATTAGAGGAGGGATGAATAAATCATGTAAGAAAGAAGCTTTTACTTAAATGCCCAAGTTAGTTTCTTTTTCCCTGAAAACTGGGAAGGCAGGATTGAAATAGCTGTATTTAGTGTTCTGTCGCAGGGCCCAAAGGTAGGTCTGACAAGAGTAACCTCACCCAGAGAGATTAGTCATGCACCCTGTTACAAAGATGTCAGAGGGGAAATGAGGGAAATCACGCTATATTCCCCTGGTGGAGGGGAAAAAACAAAAGAGCCAGGGTGATGAAATGCTCTTTGGCTATAAATGAAAATGCCTTAAAACTTCCTGGCATTCTCTCTTGCTAATGAGCTAAATTAAAACAGATAACCCGTGTTTTAAGAAGCATCAAAGACAAATTAAATGTCAGAGGAAAAGTAAATTACATATTTATCGACTGTTTTATGAGGTTATGCAGACTGTTCATTAAAAAGTCCCCTCAAAAGATGATTCTTCTTGTAACCAGGGCCTGTAGCTGCAAAGCAATCAATTTATAATGGAATATTCACAGCAGATTCAGGGCAACTCCTGATTAACGATGTTTCACCACGTTAGGATAAATCTCTTTGAAATGTAAAGAAAAAAGGCAGAATGTCCTTTTTATAATTAATCAACTCAGAGTCTAGCACAACCACAAAAAGTGTGGTTTCTTTCCACTGGCAGTTGGGTTCTTGAGTTTTTCCTACCACCTTTCATACACATAAACCCTTTACTACTGATTTTGGCAAACCTAGGTATGGAAATCCCAAGGAAACTCATTATGTCACTGAGGTGAAAGACAGTATCCATCTTTAGAACTCTGCAGCTATAGATTTCATAAGACGCACCTTGAACAAAACTGAAAACAGCATACACTCCGGGACTGAATCCAATATTTCACTGCTAGGGAATAGGCAGCTGAACATCTCTCCATAATTTAGAACTCTACTGAAAAAGAGCTGAGTATTCTCTTTTAAGAGAATTTATAACTTAATACATTTCAGTGGGACTTTATGGACAGGAATGCACAATGCAATTTTATGTCAAATTGGGGGCCAAAATATGTATCTCTTGTATATTTTACCTCTAGTGATCATCACCTTCCATTTTCCACAATGTCCTCAAAATGTATAGGGTGTCCCAAAATTCATGCAAGAAGTAATTTTGATAGAAAACACAGGTTTATAATTAAAAATTGTAAATTTTTTATTGATTCATAAAGTATACAGTATAGGGTTATGTATGGAATAGCACATCGGGTAAATGGCCTCCATGGCTTTGCTGGCACATATGCAAAGCCGTGGTCTTCATTGGTCTTCATTGTCCCTGCTCCTGGGCCATAATTGGTACTTGGTATTGCTTATCAAATTGAAGGGATTGAAATCAAAGGGCAACAGATATTAGAATCTGATTCAATAAACCAAGTAAAATTAGGCTTTTATTTTTGTTGTTGTTGTTAATGCTCATGCAAAATTCAAATCTTGCGTGAATTTTGGGACACCCTATAAATACAAAAAAAAAATAGACTTGTTGAGTCTCAGTTTTTAATGGGAAATAAAACATTATACATATGACAAAGTCCTGGTGCATGTCACAAAATGGAACATTCTAAAATAAACTTTCACATTGTGGCTGGCCAAATTTGGTCTCCCACCGAATAGGGACCAGAAGGACAGAAGTTCTTGGTCCACATGGAAATGAAATGGTTTTGATTGAAGAGCACCGTTCTATTGCAGGATGATTAAAATGTTGGGAGCTTGAGTTGATCTTTCCAGATCATAAGTGCATGGTTGAGTGAAATGTTAGAAAGTTACACTTCGAATTAATCTTCATATGGATCTTGCTCTAAATCAAGCCACATTCCTTGCCACTATAAAACTGTTATTTTTCTGCATTGGCTTTTCAAATTTTTGTTATTAAACATTTTTTTATATTTGTTTTTTTACTTTTAAAGGAGTGGTTTGGTTCCCAAAGGCTTGGGAATTTATACAGATTGTGATTGGGGTCCAGGCAAGCTCAGAAAGTAATAGGAGAAATTAGGAATGTAAAAAGTGCGTCTTCCCTGTTCAGGTGGAAGTTAGGAACACAGAACACATTGTTCCATTAGTTAAATAAGTGGATGATGAAGAAGTAAGTTCATAATATTTGACAATATGGTGAAAGAAACTGACAAATGGGAAGAAATATGATGCCATGTAGCAAAATATTAGCCATTATTGTTTTCTAGTTAGGAAATTGCTTATGCCATCTGTAAAATATTTGAAGGAGGACTCTATTCCCCTCAGCAACCTCTGGCAAAATTCAGCATGCTTTCCTCTTAATAAGAAGGTTGAAATTACCTTTAATATTACCTACTATAGTATCAACTCAATTTCCTTGCACAACATTGAGTGGTGGAACTATTCATAAATTTCAAGATGTGAGAAAACCACTCGGCCTTCACATCTTCTTGACTGAATGGAACTGACTCAGTTGTAGATACAGTTGGTCAGGTTCATTTTCTTGAGTTGCTCCTTTTTCTTTCATGTTTCCCCTTTTGATGATTTCCCTCATATCTATGTCAAGCTTTGGCAAGCCAATACTGAACGTGAAGAGGGATTATCTCAAAGTCAGTGCTATTTTATTTCTGGTCAACACCCAACAATTATAAGAGTGTGGCTGGCCACTATGCTAGCCTGGTCTTACAATTGCTGTCTTGTGCTTTGATCTTTCTCCACATGTCCTACACTTGACCTTATTGTTTTACTCCAGTATTAATTATTGCTCCTTCTTGTCACGGTCATTTCCCTTTATTAGCTATTGTGTCCTACAATATTAACAGTCATCGTTCTTATTTTATTATCAAAGTCATGGTTCCAAAGCACAACATTTTTAAGCCCTGAAGAGCACCTCTCAATAAATGCTTTACTTTGACATGGAACCAACAATCGTCAAGGGCAACCTTCAAACCTAGACACAGTAAGATGGTCATAAGAACAATTTCCTGGATGGAAAGCAAAGAGAAATCATATTGGTCCCTATTTACAGTAACAAACAAACAAACAATAGAACAAGTAAAAATTCATAGAAACACTTCAGATCTCTTTCCAAAGGGCCAAAAAAAGAAATTTTAAAATGGCTATAAATATGGTAGTAGTATACATTTTATCTATGAGTAAAGTTGTTGAAATTTTTGGACCAAAACCAAAACAAAGCAAAATAAAACTCTGTGGGAATAACAATATTTTCCAAGAAAGATTTTTTTTTAGAAATGCAAAAAGTGGCTAATGAGGTATCAACCATAAGTGAAGGGTATTATGTCAGTGTACAAAGTAATGACAAATATGAATTCAGACAGCATGGATTGCAAATGCATGTATTTGCATATATCACCTGGAATTGGTCATTGTGAAGGTGTTTTTTAAATTTTCTGTTGAACCTGGGTCTTTTGCTCCAAATATTTGAGCATTTTTTAAAGATTATTTCTAAATGAAAAGCATAGTGATTTTAAATATTTATTCTACTTTACTAATGCATAATAAATGTGAAAGGGTGGTTAAGAATATTTAAATTATTGATTAATAAAAATCATAAAAATTAGCAGCATATCTCAGTAATTATTAATTCTTGGATTTTCATTACTGTTTGAGAATCTATATTGCCCAACCTAAAACTTTAGGAGTCACACATATTAAATCAATGTCATAGGGAATAAAATTATTTAGAATCAACCACAAGAAATCTATAAGAAGTAAATTTGTGAATGGACTATATAGTGAAACAAAACTAACATTTTTCAGCTTTGCAGATTTAAAAAGTACTTTTATGAAATACCAGTACCTTTTAGAGTAGATATTTTAAGCTGCAGGTTGAAGAACAGAATAACTGAAAAGTACATTTTTCACAAAGAGAAAAATATTCCTTGATGAATCAAAACAGATGAATGTTCTAAAGCTGAGATACTTTTTCCCTAAAATATTTGATTTATAAATATTCAGTTTGCTTTAAGTTAATATTCATGAAACATTGGTTTTGACCAAATAATAAGCACAGGTAATTTTAAAGTGAGCACCAATAAACTGTTATTATAGGGAAAAAGAAGATTTATATTTTTCTGGTTTATGAGAATATTTTTTTAGAAGAAAACCAGGATGCTATTGGTACAGGAACCCTCTGCTGGACAGAGTCTGCCATTACAATATCAGTAATTTAAAGCTGAAGAGACTTAGCTAATTCATTTCTCTTAATTCTATCTTGGCAGGGAAGAGGGCAGGGTCCTTTAAAAATACTTATGTCTCAGCCACACCCCAGACCAATTAAAAGCCAATCTCCAGAGCTGGGTTCCATGCATTTGCAGTTTTTAAACCTCACAAGGTGATGATAAAGACTTCTTGAATACTACCATAAAGATTTTTTTTACCATCATTGAAAAAGATACATACATTTCCCATGCGAGATGTGATCTGAGATTGTGTGCAAGACACATGAGCTAGGGAGGTCTTATTCTAATGGAATGGAAAGAGAGTGAAATTATTGAGTGATGCTATTCAGTTCAGTTTACCTTGGGCTTTTCGTCCAGGATCTGCTGACGTATCTCCTTGTGTTTCTCTACGAGTTTTTCTTGCCTTTTACTTTGTGCCTCTTCTAACTATAAGAAAGTTACAAAGAAAATCATTATCACCTAAAAGTTCTAGTGACTGTTTTCAGAAAAATATTAAAAATTAAATGCATTGAATGACTTCATTCCCTGGTCATGAACTGCCCTTACAAGTGTAGGAGACTGTTGGTAAGCGTTGAAGGTACACAGAATGAGGGTGGAGTGGTCAACAGTTATACTATCCTTACATTTTCTTAATATTTGAAAATTTCCATAGTAACATTTTTTAAAAATTTGAAAATAAATATAATGGCCTCTGGAGCTTGTCATCTTCTCTACCAGGGTGACAACTAAGGATTCTTTGGGGAAATCTCCCATTTACAACATGTTTCAGGGCTCCTGACTTGGAAGTGATTCTTCACATCTGTCTTTACGGAGCCTTTTTGTACACAGGTTTGCAATTAAACTTGCAGGGGCATTGACTAGGGAGCCTGCGCTGTGAAGAGCGGTAAATAGATGCAACTAGGCTTGTTGTTTCCCTATGGAGGCTCACACTGTGCTTGTCAAACATTCACACATAGTTTGCAAAGGAGACAGGGATTAGCCCCGTTAAAAAGAAACAATGGGCTCAAAATGGAGTCACTTTTCCTTCGCCCCACCAAGAATGAATACTAACCTAACTGCAGTTTCAGCCTCTCCCAGTCTGTCTGGAACTTCAACCTTAGTGATGTCATCTGCCTGATAAAGCCCCCTGCCTTCCCCTGAGCAAAGGTGACCTTGCCTGTAATAACTTCCTCCTCCCATCATCTCTCCGCCTATAAAACCTTCTTCTCTATACAGCTGCTCAGAGGAACTCTCTGTTTACTAAATGGGATACTGCCTGGTTCACGAACTGCTAGAACCAATTAGACCTTTAAATCTACGCGATTGAACTTTTGTTCTTTAACAACCAACATACCCTCTTGATGTACTGCACCACCTCCTGGATGTATGACCGGATCATCTCTGTCTTTTCCCTAAAAGAAAAGGACAAAGAAATCATTATATGAACACATCCGGCATCAGAAAACAGGAGAATCTTGGACTCCCCAATGAAAATTGACAGAACTCTCAACCTTCTTATTCCTGCTTCCAGGAAGGTACAATGCACCAACTCTGGACAAAGGTCAGGTCCCCCCAAGGGCAGACTTTGTTTTCATTAAATGCTGGGAAGACTGCCTGACATTATTAGAAGTGAGTATTCAACCTTTTCCTAAGGGACACTCTTTACTCAGCCTTTATCTTCAAGGTCCTTTTCTGAACTGCTCTTTGAGTGTCCGGTTGAAAACCTTACAGAGATCTTTGGAAAGGTTAATTAGAGGAGAAATTTCACAGATGGGTCTTCATGGTTAAGAACAAAATAATCCCCAGGTAAAAGTGGGGAAGAAGGGTTCCTTCTCCTTACTCTTCCATCTGGCTTTTGTCTTTGGATTTAGCTTCTGTGATCTTCTCTTGTCTCTTTTTATCCATTTTCTTCTTTAATTCCTTCTTCTCTCTGAAGTCAAAATGGAAGTAAAAGGGAAAAAAGGCAAATGAAATGGCAGTCTGTATTGAATACATATATATACACAAGTTCATTATAATGAGAACAGAGGCTTACTTCTCACAGATTTCTTTGAGCTTCTTTAACTGATTGTTCTGACATTCTTCAGCAACATCCGTCAATTTTTGGATAAGCTGGGGAAAGAAAATGCCAGTTTGCTATATTGTTACCATAAACAAAGCACCCTCTCCCTCAAACAATAGTATCTGTAGTTAAAAAATCTCTCATTGATATTTAACAAGTTAGAATTATCAAATATCTATGATAGGTAATGAGGACATAATTTAAAACCATCATATTATCTTGGTTTGAATACAAAATTCTTCTGATCTCTTTAATTAATATATATATATATTTCAGAGAGGAAGGGGGAGGGAGAGATAGAAACATCAATGATGAAAGAGAATCATTGATCAGCTGCCTCCTGCACAACCACTACTGGGGATCAAGCCCGCAACCCGGGCATGTACCTTGACCAGGAATCGAACTGTGACCTCCTGGTTCATAGGTCGATGCTCAACCACTGAGCCATGCAAGCCGGGCTTATCTCTTTTTAATTAAGCAGGACTCCTTAGGTTACTGTGCTGGTTACTGTAGCTTGACCCAGTGCAAAGACAACAAACAGTGAGGACCCAGATTTCAATTCCCACTTTATGTGTGACCTATTTAAAGGATGATTTGGCCAAGAAAACCTATGTTTTCTTAGTTGTAAATAAAATTATGAATGCTTTTATCTTTTGGAGGTACTGTGAAGCTTGAAATGAAATGAATATGATACAAATGTGAGTTATAATTAACTGTGAATTATGATTCTAGGTTTCCAGGTATTATTCATTGTTTAATTGCTTCATGGATAACATGAGTTACCCATCTTAGAAATCAATGGTTTTGTCCTTGTGTGGGTGACTTCCAAAGAACATAATAAATTCTCTTCTGTGCTATCACGGAATTTTTAATATATCACCACAAAATTAATTATTGTATTGCCTTGAGTGTATTTTTCTTATCAAACCAAGCTTGGAGAGAATAGTGACTGTGTTTTCATATCCTCAGCCCTCCGCACAATTCCTAGCATTCAGTAGTTGCTCAATAAAAGCTTGCCAATTATATGAGCGTCATTTTGCCTTCCAATCCCTTCTCTGTCTTTATTCTATACTAGAGGCTCGGTGCACAAATTCGTGCACCAGTGGGGTCTCTCAGCCTGGCCTGCGGGATCAGGCCAAAACCGGCTCTCCAACATCCCCTGAGGAGTCCTGGATTACAAGAGGGCACAGGCCAGGCCGAGGGACCCCACCAGTGCATGATCAGGGCTGGGGAGGGACCGCAGGAGGGCTCCAGGGCATGTCTGGCCCATCTAGCTCAGTCCTGATCGGCTGGATCCCAGTGGCAAGCTAACCTACCAGTCGCAGTGTCTGCCCCCTGGTGATCATAGCGACTGGTCGGCCGGTCTACTGTCTGCCCCCTGGTGGTCAGTGCACATCATAGCAAGCAGTAGAGCAGCCTTAGCATATCATTAGCATATTATGCTTTGATTGGTTGAACGAACGACCGGACACTTAGCATATTAGGCTTTTATTATATAGGATGAATACCATAAACAACCTTCTGCCATTGCTCAGGCACAGTGGCAACTGGACCCAACCCTTCTTACTGGACACCAAATAGATGGTGTGGGCTTCTTGCAAAAGGTCCCACAGCTGTTCCCCAGAGCTGAAGTTCTCAGATGCAGCAGGGTGAGCTGAACAGTTTTATATAAGCTGCAGCTACAACTGTGATAAGGCAATATAATCATAATGCCAGTTCACTTTCATTGATAATGTATACAAGCTGGGAACAGTTTGAAGAGTTTTAAATGCAGTAACTTACTCAATTCTAAGAGTTGACCTATTGGAAAGAAGTTGGTGCTATTATATTCCTTTTAAATATGAAAACACGGACCCCAGGTGCTCTAGTGTCTGGTTTAGGGCCAAAGAGGCAGTCAGCCACGGAGCTGGGTACAAACCCAGACAATCAGGCTGTAGCCTTCACCACTTTCCCACACCACCTTTTCTACCGACTGTAGAAATTGTTTTAAAAGACCCCTTTTTATCTGAGAGAATACAAGAAGCCAAGGGAGAAAGTCTCTTATAGGATTACAATAAAAAAGCGCCTTAACATGACCATGAAATTTGCCGCACCCATCTGTGAAGTGGATTAAGTCTGAACAAATACTCACTGGGGCTTGGGCCAGTGGAAAACCCATTTGATCATCCAGAAGACATTGTCGGATCATGACTGTCACGATTAAAGATATCGTGAAATATTGCAGTGCTGTGGTGCCATTTATCAAGTTGTCTAGATGTTAAATTGGTGTGCAATGACTCTGGAAATTTCCTTGAGGATTCCTGCGATGCTGCTATTCTAGCTGAGGGTGAATACTCAGCACATCTCCTTCCCCAGGGACCTTTCTTGTCTCCCATTCTCCCCAAGGAATTACAGAGCATCATCCAGGGATCCCCAACCATGGCTGCAACATCAGAAAACGTGGGCAACTTCTTAAAAATACAGATTCCAGAGCCTGTTCCTAGGCTTATGGACTCCAAATGTCTGGGGGTGGGGGGTGGGGAGGAATCAATGTTTTCAAAATGTCCTCTGATGATTTGGACACTTTGTCAGATTTGGGGGGTTTGGGTGGCCTTGTCCACATTCTAACGACGGTTGCAGAGCTCCCAGCAGTGCTTTTGAATTCTGTGGTTTCACACTTCTGTTCCCATGTTGCCATCTCTATCATTCATTTGACTCCAATGTATTCTATCTTCTTGATTCTGCCAGCGTCTGCTCACATTCCCTTCCACCTCTTGCCATAACAACATCGGTGACCAGTCAACACAACCACTGAGCCTGAGATCTTACAGCCCTCTGCCCACTCAGGTCAGCCTTTTATTTTGATTTGGTTTTAGCCCCCACACAACAGCCAGCACCATACCTCCTCAAGGCTCCACAGCAGTTCCCCATGTCGGGTAACCCGTGGCCTTCCTCTTTGCCCCTCCCTCAGATTATCACACTGCTCTTTGCTCTTCTCAGAACTAGTTCCCACTTCTCTTGCTCCCAGAACACACACTTTAGCCTAAACTATTCAATTTAGCCACAATCCAACATTTACCAAGTGCTTACTAAACCCCAGGCACCATCCTGGAGACTGAGGCAATGTCCTGGCTTTCTAGGTCTTGCTACTCAAACTGGGTCCATGGACAAGCACCATTGGAGTTGCCAATGGTCACGTTAGAAATGCAAATTCTCAGGCCCTACCCCAGGTCAACTTGAAATTAAAATCTGTATCTTAACAAGATTCCCAGGAGATACTTGTGCAAGGTACAGGTTGAGAAGTACTGTCTAGTAGAACTCTGGATTATTGATGGAGACGATTTAGAAGAAGCCCTCTGTTATGGACTGAATGCTGGGTGTCCCCCCCTCCCACTTTCATATTGAAATCCTCACCTCCAATGTAGTGGTATTAGGAGATGGGGACTTTGGGTGGTAATTAGGTCATGAAGGTGGAGCCCTCATGTATGGGAATAGCACTCTTATAAAAGAGACCCCAGAGAGCTCCCTAGCCCCTTCAGCCACGTGAGGACACTGTGAGAAGACAGCCATCTATGAACCAGGAAGTGGCTCTCACAAGACACCAAATGTGCAGGTGCCTTAATCTTGGACTTTCAGCCTTCAGAACTGTGAGAAATAATTCTCTGTTGTTTAAGCTACTCAGTCTACGGTGATTTGTTTTAACAGCCCTAATAAGACGCCCTTCTCAAGTTCCCTCTTCTCTGCCTCAAAAGGTCTTTGGAACTTGACTTTCATTCTCTTCCTTGCCCCAAACTCAGCTTCCTCACTTGTGACACAGAGACAATGTTTCCCTCCTGGGGTTGCTGCGAAAGCTGAGAGGGAAAACACACGTGCAAGCCCAATAGACTACATCGTCGATTCTTAACTTGGTTTCCTCACCCTTCCTTCCAAGAGAAAGATTCTTGCCTGTATTTTCCATCCTGTTTTCTCCCACCTACGGCCAGACCTAATCTGCCATTTCATTTTCTCCTCTCAACCTTTCTTCTGCACCAGACGCATTCCCTTTGCATTAAAACATATTATCTTGCCCTAACTGGTTTGGCTCAGTGGATAGAGCGTCGGCCTGCTGACTGAAGGGTCCCGGGTTCAGTTCCGGTCAGGGCATGAACCTTGGTTGCGGGCATATCCCCAGTGGGGAGTGTGCAGGAGGTGGCTGATTGTTTCTCTCTCATCCATGTTTCTAACTCTCTATCCCTCTCCCTTCCTCTTCGTAAAAAATCAATAAAATATATTT